TTGTCTTTGCAACAAGAAAGGACAAATATAAGAGCTGGAAAGAAGAATAGATCTTTAAGGTAGTATCACGGGTTCTTTTTAAACTATACCCAATTTGGTTGACTCAGACTCAAAAGACCCACCAAAAGCACTGGACCCTAGACACTCGGATTTTTCTATCTCCCTATAAGAGCTGGAGAAAATACAAAAATGAAATATGCAAACATATATGTGTGAGTTATTTCTATGGCTGTTATCTTATCCTACCCTCTATTTCTATTCCTAACAAAACTATACAATTTTCTCCCTACTATATTCCACTACTATTACTATACTCTATATTATTACTTCTACTTATATGCTATATTACACCACTACTAGTATACTATTACTACTGTTATTATACTACTACTGTTACTAGCATACAACAGGGTTTTACTATTTTACAGACCCTGGTCTGTCTGTAAATCCCCCCCCCTCTCTCTCTGAGATTTCTTCTATTATTTTTTTCTTCTTTATTAACAGGTAGCATCTAAAGCACTTGCACTTTCCCAATGTTGGGCTGGGCTTGACCTATTCTGCCTCCTCTGGACCCTTCAGCCTCTGTGAAGAAAACACCTTCTTTTATTTGGCTGCTCCTCTGACAGCAGCTGAGTTTCGAAAACACACACCCCTCTCCTCCCCCAGCTGTTTCAAGGCTGCACTTTTATAAGCAACTCTGCCATGCTGATGCTGGGGAGAAGGCAGGCAGCACAGGTGTCTGCAGTTGTTCCCCAACAGTCTGCTCTTCCACAGGTAAAGATAGTGCAGAACTATACAGATTATGTCAGAAAAGCTATAATTTAGAATTAATGGAGAATGCTAACAAAAAGGGTTCTTTTTTAATTCTGTTCAAAATAAAAACAATAGGAAAGAATCCGTATACCATCTGATCAGTGAAGACTCAAACTGCTAACAGGTATGAAAGAAAAGGCAGAGCAACTCAATTCCTTTTTTGGTTCAAACGTATCCCATAAGACTATATGGGTTCCACCAAGAAATTCTACTAGAACATTGTGGGGTGATATGGAAATAGGATTTGTATTTTTACTTACATGTATATCTACTTATACTTATTACTCTATTTTTATTCATGTTTTATTTAATCTGTTACATTACTTTTGTAAAGAGTTTTATTAATTATTTACTGTCTAATTGTTATCTTGATAAGGCCTTAGGGCTAATCAATAAACTTTGATTTGATTTGATTACTAGAACATTGTGAAAAGCAGAATGAAGGGGCAGGAGTCAAGTTAGCCATTGATAGAAACATGGTCAAGGAAGGCCTATTTACCGTGGGAACTAACTGACAGTTGATTGAACACTTAAGTATTCTCTCTAAGAAATCCCAGAAGTGCCAAATGACTGGAGGAGGACAAATGTTGACTCAATTTTCTAAAAAGAAGGAAGGGAGGACAAAACAACCAGTCTTACATGGATATCTTGGAAGATTCTAGAGCAGATCATAAAGAGATTGATCTGTAAGCATCCTGAAAACAATGCAGTAATTAGAAGAAATCATCATGGATTCGTAAGAACAAGTCTTGACAGATTAACCTTCTGTCTCCCTCTCTCTCTGTGATATTTTAACTTCCTTAGTAGATCATCGGAATGCTGTAGACATAATATATTTTGCTTTCAGAAAAGTGTCAAAGTATCCTACGACATTCTAATTAGCAAGCTACTTAAACATGGGCAGGATGGTATGATAATTAAGGGGATACCTAGCAGACTTTGAAATCATCTGGAGGGAAGAAGGTGGATTGGGATAATACCTAGTATAATCCTGGGTCCTTTACTTTTCAATATTCAATAGATGAAGAGGTATAAGAAATGTTTATAAAAGTTCAAGGTGACACAAGGGTGGGATAAAAATTTATAAGATAGAAATAAAATGAAAAACCATCTTGCTAGAAAAATAGGTTGAAAATAACAGAATGAAATTTAACAGCAAATTGCAAAGTACTTTCCTAATAAAAATCAAATGTATGGATATAGGAAGGGAGATACCTGTCTTGGTAAAGTACATGTGAAAAAATCTTGATACTGTATCTGATCACAGGCTGAATGTGAGTTGGCAGGGTAATGTGGCTGTAAAAAAAAAAAAGGCAAATGCATTTTTAGGCTGAATCAACAAATCCATAATGATCATATCATTGGAAGTAATAATGATATTACTTCCTACTTTATTCTAGGTAAAATATCCTAGTCTATTTTATTCTGTATTGGTCAAGCCCCATCTCAAGTGCTGAATCAAAGGCACCACACTTTATGAATGATTCAGGCCAGAACAAGTTCAAAGAAAAGCAGTGAGGATGTGGATAGAGGTTCGGAAGCGAAGTCCTACGAGCTGAGATTTAAGGAGCTGAGATATTTAGCCTTGAGAACACCGAGAGGGGAAATGTGATAGCACTCTTCAAGTTAAGTACGGAATAAATGTGACATAGAAGAAGGTAAAAAAACTGTTATTCAATGTTCCAAAGAACAGGATACAGAATGATGGATTTGACTTACAAAAATCAGAATCTGATTAAATAACAGAAAGAAAAGCCCTAACGGAAAGAACATTTGTACAATGGAAACAATTGCCCAGAGAGATGACAGACTCCTCTACACAGGATGTGTTCAAAGAGCTAGTCACCTCTCATGGATCCTTTAATTTGGATTCCTCTACTGAGCAGGGGGATGAAATGGCTTCTTCCAATTTTATGAATTTGGACATGTAATGCAAAGACCTAGTTCTCTGATGACGAACAGCAAGGTGGATGGACTTACTTACAGGGGCTATGGGTACACCATCAGAAGACCCAAAAGACCAGGTTAGGGACAGATCGTCATGGAGAAAACCTATCTATGTGATTGCTAAGAGTCAACAACAACTTGATGGCACATCATCAATCAGTGTTATGAATCTGTCATTATATAAAATAACTCTCCCAAATCTTAGCTGATTCCATTTAAACAGAGAGATCTTTATTTAATTTATGATGATTCTGATCATTCAGGCTTCAAATTCATGTGCAAAAAATACAAGGGCTGGTTCATTCTTCTCATATCATGAGCACACAGCCACAATTAGGTTGCTGCCAACCCTGTAGCTTTTCTGGTTCTCACCTGTTGCCAAGTCAGAGCAGACCTCTTTCAATTGGAAAAATGAATGGGCAAATGTTTATTTTCTAATCTGCATGGAATGAAGAGAATTAGAAGTATAAAGAACTAATAATACCTATGAAATATATATGGAATAACAAAGACCCATTAGCAGCAGAGCATCAGTGGGCTGGATATGGAATGTAGTATGCATCTTTCTATAGCAGAAAGTGATTGGCATAAGGAACAATTCTTGCACTTCTCTTGAAGGGCATAGCATGAGAAAAATTGAATGTAATAAATCATTCTGACAAAAATGAATAAGGAATTGAGAAAGATGGTGGCATTATCTGTGGACAACAATTTTGAAACCCTTCTGTATTCTGATTTTACTTTTACTTTTGCTCCTTATCTTCTTTCAGGACTGGATGACAAGAGAAAAAATGGCCATTACACCAATACAGATTGAGCTAAAACTCATGGTTTTGGAGTCTTCTCCTACAGTAAATATGGCAAGTGACCTAGTATTCTGCTTCACAGGAATTTCTGTGGTTAATAGAAAGTAATGCTCAAATATATCTATTCTGCCTTCATCCACTCTGCTCCAGGTAGAACATAGGTCTATGAGTGATACTTCTGGGTATTCTCTTTGCTTGCAACTGAGCTCTATTATAGTTGTGGTTCCTGGATTGATCTGGCAAATGCAGCTGCTTAGAGTCTGTGGATTGAAGCAACATAAAAGTTCAAATAAATAAATAAATAAATAGCAACATGTATGTTTCAGGTAGAACACCGGTGTTTGGAGAGAGAGGAAAGAGAATAAATCTCTTCATCCTCTCCAACAACTAATCAGCAGGGTCTCTGGTTTCCAAAGTTCATAAATGCAGCCCATTTCTTGTGCATCAGTGTAAGCAAAGGTATATGATGTTGGACGTATTTGCCTCCTCCATATGCAGGGTGTGGAGAAAGATGGTAGGACTTGGGGGTTATCCAGTGAAAATGAATGAATAAATAGCAAATAAATAAATGGCTAACCCTGCAATAAAAAAGGCCTGAGAAAAGAAAATACTGTTTCACATTATTCATGGTTAAGACATGACATTTAATCCTCACATTGGTAAGGGCTACTGGTTTATGTGGTTTGAAAAGTTAGTTCTAAAATCTTCATGGAAGATGATGATGATCTGTTGGGAACACTTAAGATTGTAGCTAATTGGAATCTCTCTGCACCAAGGTAATCTGCTAGTGAATGCTAGTTTCAAAAGTGGAGCTTGGAAAGGAAGGAAGGGGAAGGAGCTAGTCATTGTGGCTACTGTATATCTTGGCTCTGTAAGGGAAGTACTGGGCCACTTAATACCAGTTGTTAGAGTACTAGACTATCATCCCTCAACATCACATGTCCTTATGTCCTCCTTGTGGCTTCTGGTTGGCAATATTGCAGACAAGACGTTGGACTAGAACAGTGTATATTTTCAAGAATAATATAGCAATAAGAAAGGAGTAATTTTGGAAATCAGGTTTCACCACATGATCAGTATCCATTTTTGAAATACAGGTAGTCCTCAGTTTAAGAACGAGTTCCTAAGGTCTGTCCTTAAGTTGAATTTGTATGTAAGCTGGAACAGTATTATTGTATAATACTGCATAAGTAATATTGTGTAATGAACTTGAACCATTGTGTATTTAACTCGAATCATTGTGTATTTAAATTTTGCTAAAATAGGCTCCATTCTTAACTATGGGTCAACTGTAATCCAGGCATTCTTAACCTGTGGACTACCTGTATTTACTGCAAGTAATTCTTGTATTCTAAAAGGATTCAAATAATTTGCTGTAGAGTAACCAATCTTAAAGAGCAATGGATTTAAAAATAAATGCAGAAACTGTGTTTTGTAAAGTGCTTTTTATTCGGCATTGTCAACTGCCTAGGGAAGTACTCTCATGCAAGCTCGGCTAACCTAGGAAAACCATTGCTATTCAGTACATAAGGATAGGCATCAACGCTGCTAATGCGACTAGGTACATGCAGATTCTAAAACCGAGTACAGCTCGGGTTGCTTTCCAAACGAGTTGGAAGAATTCAGTAAATTAACTTTAGTTCCTCAGCTCACCATTTTTGTTAATATTTTCCATGATGTTCTCCCTTCTGCCTTTTGCTTTTATTGCTTTACATACTTTGAACAAAGTCCAGTGAAACTTAAGTGAGCTTATTTCCTATTGGTTTCAGTGGAAGATAATCAGCTTAATTTTCTCTCATTAAAGGAAAATAGAGTTAATATCCTATATTTCTGGGAGCAAGCCCCATTAAACTTAATGGGACTTATTTCTCAGGAGACATGAAGAGGATTGAACTGTTAATGTGTAATCTCATGCATCTTTTATTCCAACTGTATTCAGCAACACATGTTTCTAAACACAGTGCTTAACTTTGGTTGAATCTTGCTCCTTGTTGGTTTTCAAGGAACAAAATGTACATATTGTGTGGCCTGAAAAATTTCAAGGCAAATGTACTTTAGGAAGATAAAATGTATAATTCACAAATGGTGAGGGAACTATAGTGCATTTTGATCATTTAGTTCAATCAAATACTCCTACTTTAATAATTCTTGAAGAAAAAAGAGTGTAATGCTTATAAGCTAAAAAAAACCCAAATGTACTTACTATATCATGGAACAACAGCTTTGTTATAGTAAAACAGTAGGTGAAAAAATAATTTTAGAAATATTTGTCTTACTCTTAGAGCACACCAGGTGCATAATCTCTAAATTCATTACAATAGATAAAGCATAACCCTGAAATAGTACAGTAGTAAGCGAATCTTATTGTAGCCTGTTTTCAAGGAGTAGATTACCCAAGAATGTTCATCACTTGGCTGCAGTTCTAAGTGATGACTTCCACATGTCAATGGAAATTTAAGTGATCACAGATTTCATTTACACTAGGTCATCTTAACAAGTTACTTTTCAGTTCACATCCTCAACTGTGATTTGCATACATCTATGAAGTAATCCTTAATAAGTATAAAGAAAAATAAAAGTACAGATAGGTAAGTTCCAAACATATGAAACAACTCTAGATAAACATGGATTCTAATGTATCTTAAACAAATTAAGTGCAGTCATGTTTTCTGTTACAAATGTAGATAATTAGTTCTTACAAAATTCTGGTAGGTAACTAGATTAAAAATATATATTCCACAAATTGGAGATACATAACCAATTCTTTTAACCAATTCTTTGAAGAAAAATACAGATTTGCTTTGATTAGTCCAAGTGCATATATTAACGATCATCATTCTGGCAACTTTTCTTAATCCCACTTTTAGTTGGCTGGTCCATCCTGACTTGTTCTTTTTGAGATGACAGAACAACTCCATCTTCAGAGCTCAGCAAATCTAAGTTTCTGCTTTCATCTTCCTGCAGTGTTTCCTTTACTTCATCCCGACAGATCGTAATATGATAATCCATGCAGTCTTCAGAAAGTGGATGGTAAACATTTTCAGTTGAATTTATAGAACCAAATAGACCAATTCTGTCATTTCCAGGTAAAAAGTCTATTGCCACATGATCCAGTGAAATAGCACCTAACGTTTTGACATGTTCGATTGATTCCTTACTGCCTGATAATTTGCTATCGAAAGGAAATGCTGCAACGTCCACTTCCTCTAAAATGACTATGCTGTTAATGCATTGTTTTTGACAATGGACATCTTTATTTTTCTGCTGAATAAGACTATCCGAGGTAATGAAATCCTCTCCTTTGATGCTTTCTTCAACATCTGTAAGACTGAAAACGTCTGTGGAATGGCCTACTTCAGAGTCAGTTATACACAGCACCTCTTTATTTACATCCCATCTTTCTAGTCTTTCAAATGGAGATTCGGAGGCAGGGCTCTTTCCATAGCCCAGTTCTGTAAATAGACCATCTACATCCTCAAAAGATGTTTCCTGAGTACAAAGTTTGTGATGTGGAAAAGTAGTTTTAAAGCCATTATTACCATTGTTATTATTGTTGTTATTGTTCATAGCACTATTTTTATTACTCTGCCATTCAGCATCATCATCAGTGTTCGTAACTGGTATAACATCAGCAACGTTAACTTTGTTATTTTCTCCATCTTTCTCCTTTTTAGCACCTTGCATGGCTGCATTATCATATTCCTTTGCATTCCTTTCACTTGCCTTTTCCTTTTCTGATTCATTAACCACATCCACTCTCCTTTGCATGGTTCCATTTTCATCACTGCATATTTTTGCCGTAATAATACTTGTAGGCTCCTCTACCTTAGACACAGGAGTGGGAGAGGAGTGGTCGTCTGAATGTAAGTCAACAGTTTCATTTTTCTTTTGTCTTTTTGTCTCCCAAAGATGACTATCACCATTTGCGAGCTGTGGCTGGCTTGTGTCACCCATGGAAATATTTGTATGAATTCTCTCAGTCTCACATTCAGAAACTTTAGGGGGCCATTTTGGTTTATTTACTTTAACCATCTCAACTGAGAGTGATTTTTGGGGAGTTTCTGTAGAAGGAGGCCATGTAATGTTTAATTTGCCCCTCTCTGTATTCTGTTTTAAATGATCATCCACAGTTTCACAATGCACTTGTGGATTGTCAGGATACAACATATGATCAGTTGTTTTATTCACTTTTGATGTGGATGTATTAACTTCTTTAGCAGAAACACAACTAATAGGACCTTTTTGATTTTTGGAAATCCATAATTCTTTATGTTGCTTGTGTCCGAAGCCTTCATCATAATTTCCTTTGGATTTGAAAAGTTGCTTAAAATGTGGTTTGCAGTATATTTTACCATGGAGAGAAGCATAATTTCCTAAGCTGCCAAATCAAAGAAAAATGTTTTATAGTATTTTTCAATCGTAAATAGTTCAAGAATACTCTGTTTCAGTTGTCATTTTTAGATTCTAAAAATAACAATCTATAAATATAACTTTATATCGATATCTATCTGTCTACATATAATACTCATAAATTAAATAATATTTAGTTGGATCAATTCTTAGCCATACATTGGATTTAAGCTATGATGAAAGTTTTATGGGATTGCTCAGAATATGACTTAGTCTAACTCCAAGTTGTTCATTTTTAAGGTTGGGCTTTAAATTCTTAATTTTACTGTTTGTGAAATAAATAGCACAGGAATAGATCAACTAAGTCTTTTTTTAGGGCATTTCAAAGCAAAAGATTTTGAAAGTTAGTTATAAATTTGACAGTGTTTATCAGCCCACTGATTTCAACAGAATTGCTACATGCTGAACACTTCCCATTCACTGGGAAGTTAAATTAAAAAGATGTTCCTATTTCCACATGAAGTACAGAAAGAGAAGCTTGAGCTTTTTGTACTTTCTATGTTAACATTTTTATTTAAATGTCTTAAGTGATCTTTACTGAAACACCATTTTTCATTTTTTTAAAAAACAACAGGTGATAAATTGATATTCTGCATCACTACAAAAATTGCTTTCTCATTTACAATTCCTGCTACTTGTTTCTCTAACTATACCATTTCAGTGCTCCTGTGTTTTCCCTTAGGTTTCTTAGGTCTCTTGTCAAAGCACAGAAAATTTGACTTTTTTACAACTTTAGTATTAGTGTATCTTCTTTCCAAATTGCGTGATTTTGACATTTACAGTGGCTTACTGAGTATAGGATCCAACTGTGATACATCAGTTTCAGCATACTTTCACTATCAGTGCCATTTTTAGACTCTTTTTAAAATTGATACTTTAATCAATTTAATCTTATTCTCTCTCTCTGTGTACTTTCTGCTTGTGTATAGATTATATAGCATCCCTAGGTAAAAGGAGTCGGGGGATGACAAAATGTGTATTGCAGGTTGTTGTGGGGGAAACAGAAAGCAGGAATTTTAGGTATGTTCACCTCCTTGAGTTATATATAAAAAGGTGGAATAAAATAATAATAATAATAATAATAATAATAATAATAATAATAATAATAGGAAGCACTTACACACTTGGGTACAACTTTGCAATGCAAGTGCCAGTCAGGGTTTACGTTGTGATGTTTTGTCATTTTCATGTCATTGCAGTTTGTACCAAATGTACTATGTGTATTTAGGTAAAATGTTTAGTGAAAATTAAATTCTTTAAAAAACAGTTTCCTGGTTTCCTCCATTTTAAGCTAATGTTCTTTATTCTTTTTTTTAATTATCATATTTAATTAGTGCAAAAACACATTTTAACCATTTTTTAAAAATGCTAATAAAATCATCATGGTGCAAGACAGACTAAATTTTAACAGTGCTTTAATACAAGTAAAGCATATCTTAAAATATTTACCTAGTTCATAAGTAATGCTAAGCCATAACATGATCCGTTTGTTTTTGCTTACAGCAGCTTACTATGAAAAAGAAAACTATTTTTTCTTTTTCTATGGTCTAAATTATCCAGATCTGAAATTATATGTGAGTTCAGCTGTTGGCTAAGATCATACATTGTTTCAGCTGCAGTCTGCTGAACAGGCCATAGTGGCCTGTGTCATGCCTAATGTTAGGCCATAAACCATATTTACAAACTACAGTGGTTGGATTTACACATCATACTAAGCTAAAATTAAATTATGGCCAGGCATGATATGTAGATCCACTCCCAATGTACTCAGAATTGTTTTTCCCCAGCTAGAAACTTGTAATGCCCACTAATGTTGCAATAGCACAAAGCCCTTTCAGAAGTTTAGAAAAATTGGGGTATTCATCAGTAAGACATAGCCCCTATAAGCCATAGTCTCTGTCAGCATTGTTCAGATATTGTTTGCTTGCAAATGCCCATTTTCAGTGTTCAGACTTAGACTTGCAGGGGAAAGCGTTTACCACTATGTGCATACTGCCTGTCAGGGATTGTGAAATGATCCAACATCAACAGCAATATACTCCCTCGATTGTGGATAGTAATACAGACGATACTTGCTTAATTACCATTCATTTAACAATGGTCAAGAGTTACAGCGGCCTTGAGGAAAGTGCTTGATGACCCACGTGGTAATGTGATCATGATTTGTGGCATTTTTTACGATGGTTGTTAAGCAAATCACCACGGTTGTTAAGAGTCACATGGTCATTAAACGAATCACATGGTCGTTAAGTGTATTCCAGCAGAAAAGTCCATTGGGGAAGCTGGATTTGCTTAACGACCATGCGATTCGCTTAACTACCATGTGACTTGCTTAACAACTGCAGTGATTTGCTTAACAACCATTGTAAAAAATGTAAAATCAGCTTCAATTCACTTAACAACCAAATCACTTAGCAATCCAATTTCCAGTCCCTATTGTGGTGGGATAGCAAGGACTACCTGTATTCTGTATATAGCTTACATTGGCAGAGGAGTAATTGAAGGAGGTGTCAATCAGAGAACACCGTTAAAGATTTTCTACCCCTGCTTCCTTCCTCCAACTGATATATTTCTCTCTTTTCTCCTTCTAATATGTAACCCTTATGTAGAATTTCTTTCACTATTTAACCTCATAATTTTTTAACTTCTTCAAAAGCAGGGCATGTTTAGTGGCTACTTATTCTTATTCTGCAAACAGGGCTAAAGGCAAATAATTTCCATGGGAAAAATCACTTCAAAGATTCTTGCCACTTTGATTCTTGTTGTAAGATTTATATAACAGCTTTCATCTACTTTAAAATATGAAGAACCATTTTCCCCTTTAGATAGACAAGACAGAACTTAAGTGATCCAACAGAAGGAGTTCAGTGGGACCACCAAATAACGTTGATTTATATTCAACATCTCAAGTTTCATTCAACTGAAAATCAAAGCAAGCTGTGACAATATATGAATGTTAAAGTTTTAATTGCTCACTTCATCTTACCTTAATTTACTACCACAGTGGTGACACCGAAAGCATGATTTATGAAAAATCTGCTTGTCGGCAACTAGGCACTCCATTGGATAAACTCTCTTTTGACAAAGTAGGCATGTTTCCTTTCCCTGAAGTTGCAGTTTCTAGAAATAAATGAGACATTGTCAATGCTGTATATTGTTAGTTTTTTTCCCTTCAGGCTATGTGCAAGAAGTTGCAGTTGCATTAGGAAACCTGAGATCCTTCACTCCTAACTAATGAACCCTTAAGCTCCAAGACAGTCATGTTACCATGCAATAAATTCTTCGTGTCTAGGAATGCCAGGCTTTTTTATTTATTTGAAGACACTTTAATATTTCAATAGGATGAAGGTAAAGAGGATGCATGAATGATTCATGCTTTTTTTTTTTTTTTACATTTCCATTGCAATGAAGGAAAACAGATGCTTCTACCACTGGCTGCAAAATTCTGCTTGGCATCTTCCCATTGGAAGCACATGCGCTCCGTTTGCATATTCACAGTGGAAATACTTAATGCTTCTATTTCACTGCATGTTTGATTTTGTACAGGAAGAACGCAAAGCAGTTTTAAAGGATTGAATCAGCAGCACTGATCAATAATACAGATTTTTTTAAAAGGCAATTCACCTTGGGGAACAAGACCAGTCTTCCATGGACTGTGCTCATGACAAGACTGTTGATCTTTTGTGTGGGTAATGTGATTTGTGGGTAATGTGATTTGTACCCTGTTTATAAATGAGTCTGCTCCTCGGGTGTTTATACCTTTAAGGAAATAGGTTCCTCGTGCACTGACCAAGGCTTTATACTTCTATCTCCAATGGCTGAAGCTGCAATCTGGATATAGTGGATTTTGAAGGACACAAAAAGGCAGCTGGAAAGGTGGCTGCTTGCTTCCACCACCACTATAACTTTTCAAGTTGCTCTCTGCTACCTGTTTGGTGAGCACCCTTCCAAGAAGAGCACTGATCCACAGCCCCATTTGATTTTTATTTTCTAGGAATGCCATCAATGCAAAGATGAGATACAGAATCAGTCTTAGAAGTAAAGATTATGCATTTCTTTGCAGCATGCTAGCTTCTCATTTAATTATTGTTTAAATTAAAAATCTGGGTTTAGAAATTAAATCAGGTGAAGCACACAGCCTGAAGATGTCAGGAAGATGCCTACAGGGATATTGGCACCTGCTGATGCCATGTTGATGACCAAGGGGGAAAAATGGTGCTTAGCATGCTTTGTTGATGCTGAACTCCGTAAATATTGTAATTCATATTTTTCACCTAGAATATTCATAAATTTATTTTGAATTTATTTAAAAATTCTGCTGGATTTATTGTTTTATAAAGTATTATTTAAGTAAAAAGTTTTTATCCTGTGAAAATATTTTTGAATCCCAGTAATTTTCCTGTATTCGCTTATCTTTATTTTTGTGTTATCTATATTTATGTTTCTCTGGGGGTGAGTGTGGGTATGTGTATATGATTCTAATCTACTGAGGGCTGAAGACAGATTTACTTCTGGCTGTTGTTGCTCTTCTTTCCCTAAACATTTTTTCTACTAAAACTTCATAATTTCAGTGAAATTTGTCTGCTACTTGTTTGTAGGGCTAACTCCAGACTCATAGAAGCCTTCAGCATCTGGCCCTGATGTGGGTCCCCTCATTTGTCATGTCCTTGGCTTCGCCAGGGGTGGCAGTACTTCTAAGACACTGAATGGCCATTATTCCGCTTTCCCACAATGTCTCAGATTCAAATTACGCCAGAGGCACCGTGGGAGATAAAACCAGTAGCCATCTTTCATTAAGATCTAGAAAAAAAAATTAAAGGAGACCTGGAGGGAATTCTCTCCAATTCTCGCAGAAACTGTCCAATTTTTCCAAGCATGGTTAGGATATAGAGTTTCACATATACATTTTTTTATTCTGGCAAAGTTTTCTTCAGACCCACTTCCCAGATGCCAATTTACAATTTGCAGGATCTGTACCCTCCAGGGAGACCTAATGGGAAGGAGGGGGAAGGAGGAGGTGGAAAAGCTTATTTTGTTCCACTTGCAGTTCTTGAGAAACATCTGTTATTTTGTCTATAGGTAGTCCTTGCTTACTGGCTGCGTCATGCAGCAACCATTCAAAATTACAAAGGTGCTAAAAAATAACTTTGTGATCAATCCTCACATTTATGACCATCCCACAGTCATGTGATCACTATTTGTGTGCTTCGCAACCAGCTTGCAACAAGCAGAGTTAATACAGAAGGAGGAAGTAAAATCGTAAATCTCAATCATGTGATTTTTTGCTTAGCGATCATGTCACTTCACTTAACAACCAAAGTGGAAGTAAGGTCATAAGCTTGTCATGGTCATGTGATTTTCTGCTTGGCAACCATATTGCTTACCAATCAAGTTGCTGGTCCCAAGTGTGGTCGCTAAGCGAGATCTACCTATACATGATTAGATTTGACCATAGTGTTCAGAAATTTAAACATTCCTACAAGTATCTCTTCTGTTACCTCTATAATTTAATTATTTTCTTAATTATTTTCACTGTCCTGAGTGCCCTCAGAACAACTTCAAACTGTCCTTTGGTCTTCAGCATGTGAGTAAAATATTGTACCTGCCCAATACATATTATTAATTTTAAATAGTAAATTACACTTTGGATTGCACCCCATTCCCTATATGCAGAGCCTGGAACAATTGTTTCAGTTGCCACACACCCCATGCCCCAGTTTAAAAGGTCCCATGCTATAAGAAGTGATCTTCCCCTGTGAAATTAGTAAGTATTACATAAAATGACACTGTTTAAAAATCCACTGCACTTACCTAAAGGGCCTCATGCACTTCTATAACAACAACAACAACACTCAGCAGTGCATGTTTTTAACCTGAACCAAACAACAAAATTGCCATAAAACATATTTTGTAAAATGTTAATTGTTTTGCTTAAAATTCAGGAAAATGATTTTATGAGCAGAATTGAAATATAGTTTTTACCTTGGGAGACAAAACCTCAAACCCTCAGTATTGGTTAGCCACATGCTCAGCACATATAGTAAGCACATGCTTTTAGAAAGGGAATAAAGATTACTGGGAGAGAGGAGAGAGAGAAGGGGAAGTCAAGAAACGTTAGCTGGAATTATGTTACTTTCTCCTCCCAATCACATTTCAGCTGTACGAAACGTTTTATTGCTGTGGTGCATACACTGAAAGCTTTCTTCACACACTGCATGCTCATTTACCACTGATAAACTCTGCTTCCTCACGGAAACTACTTCTCACTTCTGCTTCAGTAGCTTCTGACATGGTGTAGCCAAGGCTTTTAAACACTCTCTCACTTTCCTGCCACGTCTTCTGAAAATTCCTTAAAAGGTCTTCTGGTGAATCGGGAGCAGAAATATCTAAGATGTGCCCTGAGATTACATCTTCATATGTTGGAGGGGCCCGTTTGAAGCCAAATCCTGACTGCGTTCCATCTGCGCTCTGTGCAGTGGAGGTCGTCGTTCTAGATTCAATGACCATGTCCTCAAAAGAATCAATGCCATATGAGCATTCCACGGGGGACTTTGCATCAAAGCACACCCTGGGTTCACAGGAGTGCTCTTTAACGACACATTGCTTTTGCTTGTTCGATTTAGTTTCCTTCGGTTCTCTTTGATGCTTTCCTGGAGATTTTTGGAAATGATCTTTTCTGCTTTCTTGCTCTTGGGAAGTTTGGCTAAGTCTGTCCTTTCTCGACCTACGTCTTACTTCCTTTGATTTGTCACTAATTATACCATTTTCAACATACTTGTTCTTGGATTTCCCCTCACTTAATGCCTGATCGTTGAAAGTTTGTAACATTGTATTTGTTTTATCCCCATAGTCAGTGCCCAATTTTTCAGGTATGGCTGGCTCCTTTCTTATGTGAATCACCTGGTCAGATGCTTCATACCTATGCCCAAGCCCTTTAGGACCAGCCTTAGGAACATCAAAGCATTGTGTAATGGAAATAGAGCCTACATTTTGTCCATGGGACTCTTCTTCTGAAACATTCCCACCCTTTTGAGATAGGTACATTTGATTTATTTGGGATTCTTCATGAGTTTCTTTGACTTTTGTCACTGCCTCTGCAGTTACCTGTGTGTCATTTGTAAATGGTGCTTTGCAAAAATCAGGTTGACGTGTTTCAATCTTGATTTGTCGACGGAGGGTTGCAGGAGATTTAACAATCTCTGACCTTTTCTCCACAATAGGAATTGGAGTTACTGATCTATTGGGGGTTACCCCTTGAGATAGTTTTACTGTAGTGTCTTTAAGTTTTGCAAGTTGCTCAGAACGGGCAGATGACTGTTGCATCTTAGAAGTTGGTGTAGTAGATCTTGGTGGAGGTGATGGTGGAACTGGAGTGCTTTCTCTTTGGACTGGAGACAAGAAATCCCTAAGAGGGGATTCAGTACGTCTAGATTCAATTGTAATGTAAGTAGGTGAGGGTGCTCGCATTCTTAGAGATGGTGAAGAAGTTCTGATTTCTGAAAATCTGTGCGCACTGACTTGCTGCTTTATTTCTTGGTGTCCCATGGTGTCTTTGGACATTTCTTTAGTCTTCTGTGAATCTTTTCTGCTGGAGCCAATTGTCACTTTAGCTATTTTCTGTGGTGATCCTCCAGTGCTATGAACATCTTTTTTACATTTCAGGGAATTTGTTGAAATCATGGCTGTTTGGATTGCATCTTCACATGAGCGAAGTATTTTGGCAGCTTGATCTTTAATAACCAACAATTCTTCTCTCATCTTTTCAATATTGTCTTCCTGTGCAATGTAACTTAAGCCTTGCTTCTTTTCTTGTGCTACCAGCCATTCTGGAATAACATTTAAGAACATCTGAAATGTTTTCATTCCATTTTTACTTGGCTCCATTTCAAATTCTTTCATTCTGGACAACAGCTGTTGTATCTCCTCCCGTTTCCTCAACAACTCTAATATGTCTACTGAGTTTTTCTCACTTTTCTGCAGCAATCCTCCTGGTGAACTAGATGGTAGCATTTTTTTCTGTACAGGATCTTTTTTTGGCTCTGGTGTCTTAAGAGGGCTTCTTTTCTGTTCTGTGGTAATTTCCCAGGCATATTCACCCTGTCCTTGTAGATTATTTTTTTCCTGAGACAGGTTTTTATTCTGAATGTTTGTCTCCAAAACAAAAGTTGGTTCTGGTTCAGAATGAGAAGTCTGAAATTTGTTGTGTATATCAATTATTTTTTGCTTAACCATTTTTTCTGATTTACTGCTAGCCTCTTGTTCTTTTCTTTGAATTATTCCTTTCTCTTCTCTAAGGCAAGCAATTACCTGGCCTTGCTTTCCTTCCATAGCCAAAGCATTTTTTTCTTGTTTCAGTTTGTCTTTCTCTGTTTCCTTTCTTTGAACTAATCTCTGTTTCACTTCACTGGATTCTTTGTCCCTTACTTCTTGTCTGCCTTCTGCGTACTTAAAATGTGTTTTTTCCATGTGGATTTTTCCATCAACTTTCACACGATTACCTGCAACATTTTTCTTGCTTATGTTTTCTTTCTGTTTTTCTTGAACTTGTTGCTTAAGAACATCATGGACACTTGTTCCTTCTTGCTTGTGATGAATCACGGAATCCTTGTGGCCTTTATGTAAAGTATGATCAAAAATAGGAACCTGGATGGTTCTAACTTTGAAAGAAGGGGATACAGTTTTATTATTTGACACATGCAAATGCTCCTCATTTTGATGCTGCTCTTTCTTGCTCATTGCATGTTCTTTGTGGGTCTGTATTTTTTGAGAAGATATGCCATGTTTTGTAAGATATTGTGATTCATGGGCTGCCTTTTTCCTGATGTGTTCTTCTGCTGACTGCTTTAAAACATTTTGAGACTGTTCAGCTGTGGATTGTTTTGGCAAGGTCTGTAGGTCATCACCTTCTGAACTGATGACTTGAGGCTTCCTCTGACATTCAGGCTCAGTAGGTACAGCTGGAGCTGCAGAGAGCGACGGACCTTGCAGAGCAGTTTGATCCTGTTTATATGACTCTGGCACCGGCAGGCCGTCTTCTGACTCTGCCTGAGCTAATCTTCCCCAGGTTTCACTGTTCCTTCTCACATGTAGTTGACAAACATCCTTGGCTTGCTTTTGTTCCATCTGTTCCTTTTGCAGTCTGTATTTTTCTTCTGCAATCATTAAAGGAGTTTTAAATTTCTGTACGTAAGGTTTAGGTGATGTTTGTGTTGCCTCTGGTGGAAGAGAAGGAGACCTGATAAGTGGAAATGTCTTATTCATTGGTGATACTTCCAGCTTGATTGTTTCCATAACTGATGAAGGCCTTTTAATGTCTTCAGTTTTTGTGCAAACTTTTTTCTCTTTTCTTTCATGACTGACAGTGTTCCTTAACATTGAGCTTTCTGCCCTTTCTTCCACTGTATTTGTGCTATCAAGCTCTTTGTGCATCTGAATGATCCTTGGTTGCATTTTTCTAGATGTTTTGCACTGGTTTGCTTCTAATTCTTTTATAAGTTCTGTCTGAAGATGTTTTGTGTTGTATGGGATCCTGCTCTGAGATTGAATTGGCTGTTTCAGTGTTTTGTCTAGGCTTTTGAAGAAATGTTCTTTCGGCTGAGGGAGAGGTGGGGGAGGCCGATGAGATGCCAATTCAGTTTCATATTTCTCTTCTACAGAGGGTGGCGGAGGAGGAAAATTCTCATACTCTGTTTTAACTTCTTCATTTGGTGGTGATGGTGGTGGTGGTGGTGAAGGAAATCTCTGTCTGTCACAAGCCATCAATAAATGAGGGGGTGGTGGTGGCAGAGGAAAGTCAGCTTCAGATGAAGTAAATGAAAGTGGAAGTGGAGGTGGAGGAGGAGGAGGAGGTGGAGGAGGAGGTGGAGAATCAATTTCTGACCTATCTGAGCCTTTAGGATTCTTGTATGGATTCACAGGATTTTTCACTTGAATCCTAAAATCTTCACGAGCACCTTCAACTTTAGACTTTCCTGTGAACTTCAACATGGATTTCTCATTACACTTTTGCTTCCTTTCAGCTTCTTTAAATTGCCTGTGCATTTCCTGTGTGACTCTGACTTTTTGACTGTTTTTTACATTCTGCTCTGATGCCATGGAAACCTCAGCTTGGCTTGCCATAACATTATTTTTCTTCCTTCTGCAAACCTCCTTTGAATGCTGAGATTGTTTTCTATCTTGTTGCACCTCTTTTGTTTCAAAATGACCAGCTGCTTTGGAAATCATGCCAGTTGACCTGTTGATCAGTTGTTCTGTCCCTCTGTAATTGGAGCTATGGTGATCACATGTTGGCTGGACTGATTTTGCTTTCATCTCACTCTGACTACTCATGTCAAAATATTTTCCATCTTTATATTCATGAAAGATGTTTTGTTTCTTTCCTGTCATTTGTTTTGCAGTCTGTATGACATTGGTTGAATGGTCTTTTTTCAATATTCTGCTTGCCTCTGATTCCTCTGTTCTTTCATTCTTCTCCACATTATTACAAAAAGCAGATTGATCAATCACATACTGATCGGTATGTCTCTTTGCTGTGACTTTATCCACAGACCTGTCTGCTTTTTCAGTGACTTTGTACTGAGATTTGGAAAAGGCCTTCTTATTTTTCTCATCCATCTCATGAGTCTTGGTGTTCCATCTCTGATCTGGATGCATTGCTTTGGCATCTTCTGTGAGAAAACGCTTCTTTTGGGACATAATTTCCTTCTGAGGAAATGTAATATTGTTTTGTAAGTGTTCAGCTGGATTGGCTTTGTTCTGGACTAATTGTTGAGATGGCTTCAGCGGCATTTCATTACTTTGTTTCATCTCTGCTTCTGTGAATCTTTGGTATTGCATTGTTTTTGTTTCTGCAGAGGCATCCAGCAAGCTCTCTACAGCAGTTTGAGTACTGCTTCTGACTATTTCTTCTTTGTCTGTTTCCTTGAAAGATTGTTGCACTGCTTTTAAAGGTCTTAGTGTGGATTCAAGGTCATTTTGGACAACCTCTTCTCTCAAGACTTCATTTTTTGTTTGTATTGCTTTCTCCAGAGATTCAATGGCCTGTTTAATATCACCAGGAATGACCTCTGCTTTTACTGTTTCTCTTGGTTGATAAACTGATTCTTGAAGAGACTTCAAAATAGCATGGATGTCAGCTTTCGTAATTTCTTCCTTCTCTGCAACTGTGGTCTGATTTATAGCTTGACTTAGGGAATTTAAAGTTGTCTTCAAATCACCCTTTATAATTTCTTCTTTGTATGCATGACAAGATGTATTTTCTGGCTCGGTTGTAAAGAATTTAACTGCATTAGAGATATCTCCAGGAATTATGTCAAC